AGTAACGAAGTATTTGTACTTCGTTATTTCCCATCTCTGGTCTTCAACAGTCAGACGGGTCACGCAAACAGATCAGGATGGGAACAGGCAGGCTCGGAGGACCAAAGGCAGAACAGGTCAGGATCAAGCAATCAGAAACGTTATGACTTGCTAGAAGACTGTCACAAAAGGCACGAAAAATCTAGTAGCAAGCAGGCAGGTTAAATAGAGACTGGAGCAGGTGACACAGATGAACATCATGAGAAACTGGCCAAAGCTAGCCAGGTGAATGAAATGAACAATCAAGCAGTCATCAGCACCAAGATCATGACAATTGGTTCCGGTCTTCAGCAGCCATTGCAGCCTACAAAGGCCTGCTAATCACCTTCTTATGAAAGTCATGCTTTTTTGCAGGAAACCCTTAACCCATGCAAAAAAAACCCCCACAAAACTCTTGCTCTAAGCTGTCCCCTGATTTCTTCCATTATTTCTGTATGTTTAGCTTCACCCTTTCTCCCATTTTCATTGTCCTAAATGAGAAAAAGCATTCTTTAGGATGATGTTATTGCCGTGATGCTTCACAGAGGGAATGTTGTCTTCAGGGGGAAGAACAGTGTTCGTTTCCTGCTTCATGTTATGTTTTGCTTTTTGGCCTAAAGAGTCCAACTTTGCTCTGATCTTCTTTTATATGTTTTTTGCATTTTATTTCCGCCACTCTTTTACTCCATAAGGCCAGCTTTATGGAAGCTACCAACAGATTATGTGAGCATTGTGCTTTCTCATCATCTCTTTGACCTATAGGGGTATAATGAGACTCTTGCTTATGCAAATGATTCCCTTTGCCCCCATTTTGCTCCCATGATGTCAACCCCCCATTTTAGCTGAAACTTTCAGCTAAAATGGGGGGTTGACATTTCTTGCTAAATTTGGATTTGTGAAACCCTCTTTCTGTTTCCATATAATGGTGAGAGTTTTAATCTATATAACTGTTTCAAAATCCAAAACTGGTTTAAAGATCTAAGCATTGATACCTCTGACCTGTCTACTTCTGTCCTTGGTTTTCATGATGCTGTTTGTAAACTGATTCTCTCTAACAAACTCCTGAGGCCTTTGCAGAACAGACTTAGGATTAGACAGACTTTATTGTCATTTTGTACACACAGAGTATATACAAAAAGAGGTGAATTCAATCTGAGAAAACTAAAAAAAACAATAACAACAAAAATACAGGTGGACTCAGTTTAATTTTCTAAGGAACCTGGTTTTATTTAGGGGTGTCGGATGAATGGAACAGGTTATAATTCATAACTCATGATTTTGTTGGAAAAGGGCTTGGAGCTCATAGCTCTAAAATAATGCACTTTTTAGTTTTGATAATTATTAAACAAAATGTAAAAACTTTCAGGGGTACAAATATATTTTCCTCAGATCCTGTAGTTGGCTGCCAACATTTCATTCTTAGGCTTACAACAAATGCAAAATTAAGTCTTCTTTGGAGTAAAAGACAAAACAAACGACGACACAATTAAAGCCCCGCACAATTTAGGCCAGAATTGAAAATGGAAACCCTCCAACTAATTTAATCTGTTTGCGGTGGGTTACTTGAAGCTGATCCCAGCTCTGTTCTGTTTGCTTTTTGACAGGCTGTGGAGTGTGAAGTGTGTTTGTGTGAGAGAACGAAAGCAGAGAGAGAGAGGGGGGGCTGTATTTTTTACAGGAAACAGGAAACCAGAAGTCATAACAGGATGCCCCAGGTTTTGATACTGTACCTGATGCGTGGGTGGTTTCATGGGGTAACCCATTTACAAAGCCTTACAGAGTTGATGCCTGAAAGAGGAGAGAGCCCAGGAAAGAGTGGGTGGAGAGGAGGGTGAAGACTTTTGGGGTTAGGAAAATGGAGTTCCACTCTATTTATAGTCTTCATTTCTATCTTGCACTCTGCCGTAGAACCTTGACGTTACTTTGCCCCAGCCTTGTTGTCCTACTTTCAAAGAGGCAACAAAGCAAACAATCTTTGATGTTCCGTGGAACACAGTGATATGATCGCTTCCATGCGAATGTGTGTGCCACCTTTCCCCAGGTGTACTGTTGGAGTGTCACACTGACTCTGTGACATGAAACTCTTTTTGTCATAATGAGGTTGATGTGCTCAAGCCCACTGAACGCTTCTCGCCCTATTGCAAAACACTCAAGCTGTGTGGTACTCTTGCATCCTTTCTTATTCAGGTCACTATGAATCAAACTATAGGATTTTAGAAATAAAATATTATAATATCTGCATTGCAAACCAGAAAAGCTTTATTTTTGAGCATAAACATGAAAAGATATTTGTGTTGAGAGTCTAATAAAAGCTTAACGAGGCTGAATAAGATTATAAACAGACCCACTCTGTTAATCACATACAGGTGTGTGCCTGGGTTGCATTTCTGCAATGCATGCCAAATATGTGTGTGTGCGTTTGTGAACCACAAAGTTGATGGTATACTGTTCTTGTAAAGGCCGGCACAGATGTCACTTTGGTTTTTTCCCCCCAAAGCATTTGAGGTTTTCTTTAGAACATGTGTTAGTATCCTGCACCCTTGTTTTCATAAAGCCAAAAATAGATTTCTTGATACACAACAACACCGGCATGGTGTTTTTTTTATAGATTACAGACCAACATGCTATACATTTAGAACTATTCTTAGTAGGATTTATTTGTATCCTTTTTTTTCAGTTATCCTGGAGCTTTCTGAAATTTTTTTTAAAGGCATGAGAGCACACAGTTACTATGGAATACCTTTCCATACAATGGTATTTATTTATTTACATTTCATAAGTATACATTATAGAACATGGCTCCACTTCATTTTGATCCAGGTACCCACCAAAAAAGAAATTATAACCTTTTTTTTTTGTATTTTACTCACTTTGAATATTATTCAGGTGAGCTGACATGAGATAAAAGATTCCTCAGAGTTTTCTAAAGACTCTCAAACAGAACACTAACATTAAAATTAAAATCTCAAGTTGGCTGCTTTAGTTTTTTTTTTTTTTAGATTTTATTATCAGAACTTCACTTTCATTAGATTTAATCTAGACATGTGGGAATGAAGGTACTGATAAATGCATGTCACACCTTGTGCTGGTCTGATTACCTAAAACACAACTGAAGGGTCGTAAATCGTGTGACAGAAGGTGACAATATGTGAAAAATTCGAAAGGGTTGGAATATGTTTGTAGGGCATGTAGTCTAAACCTTAACTTAAGAAATAAGGATAACAGGTGAATAATAATGAAGAAAATCCTCTCAGTTATGTTACTGTGTGGCATTCCTGCGCATCAACCCTGTCATTTCTGTAAAGTACGTCTTTTTTTTTTCTCTTTGTGATACAAGCAGCAAAAAAAAAAAAAAAAACTGCCAAAAAAAAGCAATAAACCCTTTGGCAAATTAAGACTGTCCCTAAGGGATAATGCTACAATCTAATTGGTCGTCCTGTACGTCAATCAAAATTGTGCGTTACCCAATTGGTTCTCCCCTCTATATTATCGTTCCATCTTGCTCGGTTAGTCTGTTGTCCTCATCCGCGAATTGACGTAGATCCCCTAAATTCGTGGCTAGACGTTGTTGTGTCTCGTTCGAAGCTTTAGAGCCTTGACATTTTAGGGTGCAGAGGTTAAACGCTGCCTATAACATAAACTGACAAAATCTGATAGATTTTATTTTTTTCCTTCTTAGTATTTGAAACTCGACACCGGTGATGTTTCAGCGCCCTGTGCTGCGGATTGATATTCCATTGGAACCGACAATGTGGAGGCTGTGAAAATGTCTACTTGGGAAAAGAAATGATTGCAGTTTAACTAAATAGAAGGAAACCGAGTAACGAGTTATGGTCCACGTTTAAGACGTGAGGTCGGCTCTGTAACGAAGACAAAAAAAGGAGGCGAGGCGACAGAGGAACCGTCTATATTGTCCTTCCTGCGCTTCATCAAGCCCCACACAGTCCGTCCGGGACCACGGGGAGGATTCTATCCCTAACTTTGTTTTTCCCCTTCTTCTGACACACTTCATATCACTCCCCGCCGCTGGATGCCACACAGCTAACTCCAGGTAAATGTGGACGCATTCACAACAAGCGAACTCACGGGAAGTTATTTAGTTAACGTCGGCGTAATAACTTAAGTTTTAGGCGCAGTGGTGAAGTTGTTGCGGCGCTTCAGCCGGTGAAAAGACAAGCGGGGTGTTGGATTTTCTTCACTTATTTCGGTCTCTACTGTCTTGCTTAGCATTAGCAGTCCTGCCTATGATGTTAAACACTTGTCTTTGTTCACTTAAGTGAGCTATAACGTTTTTAGCATTTTGCCGGAGTGAGTTAGCTCCCCTGGGGGGTCTCGGTACTTCTCTGTAGGTTCTATGTTTAAGTGCTAGCCGTTTGCTTCTTTTGTAACAGTGTTTGCGGTCAATATATACACAAATACCTTTAACATTCCAATGTGTTCAAAAATAACTATGAAATAGGCTCCTTGAATAAAAATAAAGACAGATAATGACATGGGTTATTTTCTTCTCCCCACTTCAACCCAACCTTCTACCGTAATAACCTTTATTTATTTACTAGAAAGTGTCCCAGACACTTAGATTAAATTCTGTGAATTGTATACTTAGTAATATCAATATCTGTATTATGACTCTGTAATGTAAAATGAACTTTGGTGGGATGAGTCTTTGTGTTCATTTCGGTGTGAGGCAACAGGTTTTTTTTTTCAGATCCTTTTAAACTTCCCGCAGCATTTCCAAACCCTGAGGTGAAAAAGACCTTTAAATACTGCTGGGAAAACAACAAGCATTCGTGTTTATTTTATTTATTTATTTCGGACGCTATGTTTTCTGTAGCAATTTGAGTAACTTTCCTCCAAATGTCGCCGGCCAAAAGGTGGGGGTGCTCAAGACAAGCTTAATGCAACTTCCATTTGTTAGGAGGGGCTAAGCACTTATCCCCCATTTTGACCTCGGCTCGGTGAGAGATAGAAATTGCTAGATTATGGGCTGTCAGGGTATTGTTCCTGGGCTGCCATCGTGCGAAAACTCTTATTTACAACCTATTGGTCGTTCTATTATATTCACGTTAAGCATATTAACGCAGGAATAGCAAAAGAAGTACCCTAATATTAGTAATATGAGTTCAATAAAAACAAAGAAAACTACATCCCCTATTTTTCCCCCTCTAATATTCATCACATTACTTCTTATTTATGTCCTCCAACAATCCTTATATAATTAGCTAAATGTGTTGGATTATAAGCCCGTGACATTCTTGCATATGTAAGTTAAGATTTATAAATGAAAGACGAAGCAGTATGGACTTTAAATTTGATCAGATTCCTTGGTTGTCATTGTGATATGTTGTCGCCTGTAAATGCATCACTGCATATGACCAAAGCCTCGTGAAAACAAATACTACTAATTAGAAAAAACCTACTTCATTACATTTAGCAGTACAACTTTTTATTTAACCAATACTAAACTATTGCATTAAATCCTCTTTTCTTTTTTTTCAAACCACAAAAATAGATATCAATAAGCTCAACAAAATTAGAGTGGACAAATCGTTCAAACAGCAAAAGTAACAGCCCCATCCGTAATAACAGTATTTAGGTGTTACAACGTTATATATGTTTATTTTTTGTATCATGAGATTTGATGGGCTTATGCTGAAACATTGCATCATCACACAGTGTGATCAAAGGCTCTATCTTTAGTGAAAACCTTTTACAGCAAAAATAAAGGAGGCACAGAAATGTTCCTTATTATGAATGAATACAATATAGTTGCCTTTCAAAAATAAAATTGTCAAAAGATTTGTTGGCAGTGTCAAAGCCTGGACAAATGTCAAGTTAGATTACATCATTTTCCCCAAAAAATGATAAAGCATAAATAAAATGAACTATAACAATTTTTTTTTACATTTAAAAACCCAGCATTTTATTTAAACAAACAGTATTAAATGGGTTTAAATTCTGATAATAATAAGATGCTTTGCTGCGTTACAGGTTCAGTGTTCTTTCTTATACTCAAAAAGCGTTTTAGCCATTGAGAGAGAACCCAGAGATAATTGCATGTTTAATTAACAGCAACCCTCAACACATTTGGCTGTTTTTTTTGGGGGGGGGTCGATCCCCTTACATGGAGGCTTGAAAATAGACCAGTGGTGATAACAAACAAGCAAGGCCTTGAACGCTGTTTATTATTTCCTTATTGAGGGGAAAGGGGGCTGACTCTGAAATGCATGAATCATGGATCAGGTTGTGATTTAAAGAGTCAGCATTGGGTGTCTCATAATCCTTTCCAGATTTGAAAGCTTTTGAGTTAAAAATATTTTGCAAATGAGCCTAAAGACAATAAAATAAAGTCATTCTTAGGTAGCTGTATAGCTGTGGCTGCACGCCACAGCAATCAAGGCTCAAAATCATACTACTTTCCTAAAAATATGCAAATTTAAACTACGCTTCTTCAGAATTCCATTTACATAAAGAAGTGGGATTTATATCATTAAACTTCCCATAGTAACAGCATTTAATCAAATTCTTTACATACCAATGCCCCAAAAGCTAAATTAACAATTCAACCATTTTTTTCCATCATCACTTATTCTAATTTATTGTTTAGACATTAAAATAGAACGATAACAATAAACTATAAATGCCCACCCCTACTCAGGATATTATAAAAACTTTTCAAAAAATATTAAAGGTAAGTCAAAGACAGTAAAGAAAACAATATTTGTTTATTTTTCTGCTCCCTATGTATATGTTATTATGTTAAAGAACAAAAAGTCACATCAGTAACATGTAGGAAACAGGAAGATCATTGTTTTGCTAATAAATGCTATGTTTGTTTTGGCATTCGGTATTTTGACTGGTGTTTCTTTTCCAAGCTTGCAAGTAAACAGTTTACAGTGTAAGAGTAGCATTGCAGTGTTTGAACACAACTGGAAATGTAATAATATTGTGTCATATTTCAGGAATAGCCACTGAAACCCAGTAATTATTGTGTTTCTCAGATGTCATAGAATGTTGCTCTAATGCAACAATTAGTATCAAACCCTTTCTCAGCTAACAGGGTAAATGTGTTTAATTCAATACAGTGTGTCTTCTACAACAACACTGACTTAATTAGCTTTATATCTCACATTCAGTGATGATCCAGTGTAAAATCAAACCTTATCCACATCCAAGTGGAGCAGGACTTATCTTTGATTTTGTCTTGTTTTTTTTATTTATTTTTTTCCTGGGTCCATAGTTTTTAAGATGTTTTCTCACTCCGAGGGAAAATCTGTTTATGCTGCCTGGCCAAAAAAAAAAAAAAAAAAAGCTTGTCTTGGCCAGCCAGCTTTGTTATCACTCTGTAAAATTGAGTGAAAAGATATACTAAACACAGTTGGTTTTGATGTGGAGGAAGCAGCTTAAGTCCAAGAGCTGACTAAAACCAAATGCAGTGTGGATTGTGGCTGAACCATGGTTTGATGTGGGCTACTTTTAGCCCTGCCTTTGCTGTTTTTACTACTTGGCCACAATGCTGACTAAATGGTTAGATGTGAGGGAATGCAACTTTAAAGGTGATTCAGATTGAGATGGTGATATTGCTGTTAGTTTTTAAATCTATTATTTTAAATTCTTTAAAATGATCATATAAGAAAATAAGACACAGCTCCAAAATTTATTTGTGACTGTTCCTTTTTCTAGACAAAAAAAATGTATGAGATCATGAAAAGTGCATACGTTGCTTTATTTACTGAAGTTAATTTTAAATCTGTTTATGAAAAGGCTTTATCTGCTCATTTGTCAATCATCTTTATAATTGTCGACGATGGAGAACCAATTTTTTGCAAGTTTTTGTTTTTATTATTTCTTTTTGCATCTTTTTAACCACAAATGAAAGCTTCCTCTTTTTTTTGTTTGGTAGTTGTGATTTTATTTTACTTCCTTAATGTATTTGTGTGAGGGTCAGCTAGAATATCAAACCAATTTACAGATAGAAATACTTTTATAAGTTAAAATGTAAGGAGGTCAGTTCTTATTCTCTGATCAAAGTCATGGATCCCATTGATTTGCCTCTACTTGCAGTGTAGCCGTTTGAAATGAGCCTTAAATGATTTTTTTCAAGCTGAGCTTCACAGATCTTGCTTTAAATAAACTGAATAATTTTTGTCAGTCCACCCCTATCATTTCAAGCCATGTGAGAAGGGTGAGGGTGGTACATTATGGGAATAAATCGTGACGAATGATTGAAAATTTCTTGGTTTTGTGTTCATCATTTTCTTAATCTTACTCCTAATGAATCAAGTTTTGATGTTTTATTTAACATTTGATGTTGGATTTAAAGAGTCCACATAGGTAAACTTTTGAGGCTGAAATGAGACATTGATATGCTTCTCTACTTTAAGAAACACATGGCAGAAAACAGTCATCTTAACCTGTGTGTTTAACTTGATAAGAATCGAGTTATTGAAGCAAAATGACACCCTGTTGTCCGTGCTTGTCCTTGTAGTCTGTTGCTGAGACTGAAAAAGCCCAGTGAACAGCATCAGAGAATGGCTGCAGTTGAAAACGACAAGGAGCTGAGCGACTTGCTGGATTTTAGTGCGGTAAGGCCTTGTTAAGTCTGAATCCTACCTTGATAATCCGGTTAACTTCAATAATAAGCCATGAACTGGTGATGAGTGCCTTGAAATATGAATGACTGGGATTTATTTTCAATTAGCAATTGATGGATTTAAACAACCATGCCTTTATTAAGCTGTGCTTTTCTTGGATTTGTCTAAATTTTCCTTGTCACAAACCGTAGCTGAAAAGCTTAGGTTGGCTGTTGTTTGTTGCAGTTGTTAGGAAAAGCACACAGGACAGTTTGGATTACCATCTGATCAGCGTTTGCATAAACATCGAGGGAACATTCAAATGTTTTATTGCCTGGCAGTGGTTTTACAGATTTATTGCTCTCTTTTCAGATGTTTGAACCTCCAGTTTCGAATGGAAAGAACGGGCCGACTACTCTTGCCAGCAGTCAGTTTGGAGGTCCTGGTAAGAGACAATACACAAAGGAAACAGTTTGTTTGTCTTTCCTTCACTCAAAGTCTGTGTCCGTATATATGTGTATATATATATATATATATATATATATATACATACATATCTTTTGTGGCGCTTCTGTGACTTTCTAAAAATAATTCCATTAGAGCTGGTCTCCAGTCTCACTACCCCATTTTTATGCTCTACCTTTCTTTCCAGTTGTAATACAATAAAATGTTGTTCCTGTTTCACAGATTTCGTTTCTCATAAATTTTGGTGTATATTAAAGATAAGTGTGGTGAGCTTGTTTGAAGGTATATTGATCAAATAAAGAAAATTATAATAATTTCCCTCAAAGGTTTCCCTCCCCTCAATTATTTTTCTCTATTGTGCAATTCATTTTGCCTCCATATCAGTCATTACCTTTAGAACCTATATGGTCATCACAATCTGATATTATTATTGTTATTAGTTTCAAGTAACTTGGCTTTACCAAAAGATGACAATAATGCCTAGAATCAGACGGTGTTGGTATTAGTTTTGTATTGTATCTGGGCGGTGATGCTATGCAGATCCTAGTCAGTGTTTCCCTACTCTGCCAGACTCACTATTAGCAGACAAATAGAAATCTCTGCCTTCTTTGTATTTTTTTGGAGGTGCATTAAGTCTTTTAGTGAGCAATAGAAAGAAACACGATATTCAAGGGGAAGATCAAAGATGGCACGTTTGGTTGCTGGGTGGGGTTACTGGGGGCTCTATTTCATCTATTCACAAGAAAGCCGCTTGTGTGTTCTTCTGTAAGGATGAGGCGCGCACTTACAAAAGAGGCATGTAGATGTTATCAATTCAACGGCTTCTCATGAGGCACCTATAGCCCTGGGGAACCATATCAGAGTTCTTACAACTGTTTGAACAAGTCTCCCCTCATTTCTGTCTCTGAAATGCCTAAACCAAGCTTAATAGTTACCCCCCAAAAGCCTTTTTCATTTTGTTTTATTTTCTGAACATGCAGCAGTAGCTTTTACAACATAATGATAAATAAATGCAACCCAAAATAGAAAATAAGAGGTGTGTTTTTAATAATGTTTCCCAGTGATTTGTTTCCTATGTTCAAAATTAAATCTAATGATTTGTTAGACTCTTCCAAATTAAACTGATTTGGCTAATTTTTATTACTAAAGCTAAATTGTGTTGCCCAGATGAGTATCAGTGACGTTACAGAAGATACAACGAAAACACTACTCCTTAGCTTACATAAAATTTGTATAGAGTTTGGATATACATCCCTGATTGTGTACTGGGCTTTATTGTATAATTTCTAAAATTAGGGCCAAAACTCTTATCCTGAATGAGTTTGTAATAATCAGTAGTCTTACATACACATTAATTCAAAAATGGACTAATTACTTCTATAAAGACATGCCAAAGTTATACTTCAAAACAATTCCCATTCATACGTTCCCTGTGCTTCATCTGGTTATAGTGTTTTAGTAATGCAGCATTTCCCCACACCCATCTGCCCACTGACAGTGAGGTGTCTCACAGAACCTTACTACATTATTATCCTGACAACAAAAACACATTTTTCTGCTAGGAATAATTTAGTTAAAATAACAGACAGTGGTGGTGTGAATCCAAAAGGCGAGCTTTAATAAATCACTCTATAAATAAAACTCTGTTTTTTAGGCTATAGGCAGCGTGTCTGAGTGCACGGTGGCAAGCCAGATGCCCAGTTAATCCCAGCAATAATAATGGACTTTATTTACGACTAGTGTTCGTATAAAAAAGTAGAAAGGCTGAAAGTAAACACCTTTGCTAATGAAACAGTTTTAAGCTACATGCAAACATGACAATTTTTATATAATATGTTTGCTTAAATCTTTGGATCAGAATCACTTAAGCACTAAATATGTTAGAGTGAAACATCATTATAATTTCAGTATTCAATATGTTTTATTGTTAATTGATACTTTTTTTCACATATAGCAAGTATTTTTGTTTTAATTCAATATAGTTTTAAAAAAAAGTATTTATACCACAGGTAAATTTTTGTTTGGCTAACTGACAAAGTTAAAGTTTTGGAGCGGCCAGAATCCAGAGTTTAATTTAACTGAAAAGCGGTGGAGGGACCTAAAGATTAGAGGAAAAACTCCAACCTTGAAGCCCCCAGCTTCCAAAAGCTAAATCATCCTAATATCTGGGGAAACATGCAAAGTGCAACCATAAGAAGGGCTAATTTGCTGTAACTGGGACAAAGGTTTTTCCCTTGATTGTTAAGGACAGTGTATGTCATTTACAACATGCCATTTTTCAAATGAAATATGTAAACCTTTTTTATTATTTTACCTCAAATTTGAGTCCTTATATTTTATTTTATTAATGTATTAAGATAATGCTTTTGTCCTATCATAAAAGAAACATTGGTTTGATGGAATAATGTAAATTCACCAGGGTATGAATTATTTTGGACTAAACTGTTTATAGTGATACCAGGGAAAGATCAACACATTTTTGATGATCTAATACATGCCTATTACTACATCGAATCATGAGAAACTTGATTTAAAAGAGTCTATATGGATCCTAATACCTAATAATAATAAAAATAATAATAATACTTTATTTTATACTGTCGTAATTAATGTTAATAAAATTTTTACATCAACATATCTCATTTTGCTCAATAATTTGTTTTTTTTATTATTTGCATGGGTTAGATTTGTATTTATGTGAACGTTTGCTGCATCTTTTTGTGCTCTTTATCAGAGATTTCAGTAAGTTTCATAGTGATTAAATACAGTTCTTTTTTTCTGCTGTTTCATTTTTTAGTTCACGAGAAACCGAGACTTCTACCATGTATTTTTAGGGTGGTATGGTTAGAAGTTCTGAAGGGAGAGATGATGTAAATTTGCATGAAAAGGTTCCTTGTTTCAAGCAGATGTGAAACTGGATCTTAAAAACTCAGGTGGGAAAGTTACATGAATGTCTGCTGTGTAAAGCCTCAATACCTGTTAGACACCAATGTTTAACATAATAATGTTCAATGTTCAACATAAGCTTTGCTCCTTATGTTAAAAGGCTTGTGTGGCACATTGTCTTGGGCTGAGGAAGTCTCCTGTGACTAACAGGTTTAAAAACTTAGCCATGTGTCATTGTACATTGTTTAAGATTTCATTTATGGTGCTGACTCCCCTGAGATTTTATCTGACATCACACTTTGTGTCTGCGTGAGTCATTTTTCCAGGGGAAGGAAGAAGTTGTGTAGACAAACGGCACGCTCGTTTATAGCTGGCCCGGGGCAATGTTCCTGTAAAAACCAAGACATGTCTGCATGTTTGGTCAATATATCTGCCTGCGTTTCAGTCATGAAGCCGGTGACTCAGGCTGGCTGCCTGTTTCCGATAGCCCTGTCTGTGCTGTGTAATTATAGACAAGGCAACCTTAAAGGGGTGTTGCATGCTAGGAGGAAAAGTGCGTTGGGGTTCTCGGGAGAATATGTCTGTTACTCACTCGCTTTTTGTTTTCCTTTGGTTTTAATATCTTAGTCTGTCTGAGTTCCTAACAGTTGATATTTCTATCCTGATTTTGGCATGTCCTATCGGTATAATGAACGGTAATATGTTAGAAATAATGTTTGCTGTAATGCATCATTGGCAATCAGCACTATGATCTGGTAAAGCAATTTATTTTGGGATTAAATATTTGTCCATAGAACCTAATGAGCTGAAAGCTTGCCGGATGGAAACGATGGGCTGTAAATGCATTTATTCACCAGATGTGTTTGAGGCCTTGGGTAGATTTTTGGGTAATATACTATATGTATGATATGTTTTATTATATTAAACAAACTATCTGATTTAAGTTAAATATAGAGAAAGGCAACCTATTCCTGCTGCTATAAGAACAATTTAAAATATTCACTTGTATAGTTTTTTTGCTACTTTAATTTCTTATTTTATTTCCTAATATTTAGATACATTTTTTGTCAGAGATGGAAAAAAAATATATACAATGAATGTCTAGAAATGTGGAAGCAGTTTTCTAATTGCAGAATATCATAACATTTTGCCTGTTTGATCTTAAGAGTAGCAAAGTTAGTATAAGATGATACCAATAAGTTTGAATGATATCTTCTTGGGCAGCCAACCCACAGTCAGCTACTTTACTCATTTGTTCTCATAGCTTACCAAGTGTTGGTTTTGGAAAAAGAGTGTTATTTAAATAATGATAAAGACACTGTTTTATTTTTCTACTCCAGAACTCTCTGTGCTTCTTATGTCTGGGAACATTTTTAAGCAACAGAAGTTTTCTCTCCATCTGATAGGAAGCTAGCAACATGTGTGTAGCGCAAGTTTAACGACACAGGAGCCATGATCAGTTGCAGTTTGATACAACCTGCGTGCTACATTTCCCAAATAAGTATTGGTCTCTTCTGATTTGTTGACCTGTAAGGTTTGACAAACGAATGAGCTCCTTCAAGACCCTGCTCTCTGCTGCAATGCCTGCTGTGGAATGGTATTTTTTTAGCAGCTAAAGGGGTTATTATCCTCCATGTTGTGCAGTTTGGTACACTTTCATTATGTGGATCAGCTGATTGACCTAAATGAAAATGCCTCATTGTCTGTCCTGTGAGTGTATGTCCTATATTGTTGTTATATATCTGTTTGATATTGATATTTCTTGATTTTAGTCAGTGATTAGTCAGGATTGTGAGATGTTTTACAGAAGCAATGTCAGCAATATGGTCGTTTTCACAGTGTGGTAGGTAGGGTAGGCCAACACCTATTTATAATAAAAAAAAAAAAAAAAAAATAGCAAGTTGATCAGAACAGAAATTTAAAGGATATTGATACCAGCGAAAATGTTCCATATCGGTGTACCTCAGTCATTACCAATTTATCAATACACGCATCATGTGAGTGACAAAGAACAAATATTCCATTCTAATTGGAAGCTGTTTGTCTTTCTGTCAAGCTGCAATTTGAAAGATATAACTAAATGAAAACCGTAATATATAGGTAGTAGGTGAGCTTGATGAAGTGGAAAAACTGTTTTAAAAGCTCCAAGGACAGAAAGACTACAGAAGGACTAATGAGTGCAAATTGATGCCCTAGCATGTAGTTCATTTCAGCTGCATTCATGAAGCAATTTATTCTGTGTTTCTGTGACTGAGTGAAAACGTGGAATTAGAGGTAAAATTTCCAAATATTTTAATAGACTTAAGCCTTTTATTGTGTTTGAAGGTGACAGAAATCAGTAGGAGGAAAGTTGAATGTGTGTTTTATTTTTTTTGATTGACAGTCAGCCTGGTAGACAGACATAGAGAGGGGAAATGAAAACTCCTTCTTCATCTCTTACTCCGCTGGTGTCGTGTAGATCACACTTGTCACTGCAGTATAGCTGCTTTTGGCTCTATACGGAGCCATTATTTTTGTTCTACTGCTGATGCTGTCAGGATTCTAGCACCCCCTCTCCCCTCCCCTCCGCTTAGCTTTTTAATTAGACAACAAAACAAAAAATATGAATATTCATAGGGCTAAGCCTCATTAATATGCACAATTATGCAAATCTGAGTGCAATTAAGCTTCAGATTTCCCCTAGAGATGCTGTGTTGCAGTATGAGGAGAGTGAGAGCAAGGGGATGGGCAGAAATTTCTGCTTCACAAATCCTTAACATCTCTTTCTTCCAACACGCGCCACCTTTCTGAAAGCTGCTTCGACCAGCGCTAACACATGGGGGCCATGTGAGTTTTGAGACATAGAGCCTGCGTTAAGACGAAGGTGTGGGCCTTATGCGTGACAATAAATGGGTTATGAATGACTGTTGCCATGGTAAATGTAAAGGAGTGTAGTAGGAGACCGAGGAATGTCGTGGATAATTCTGGAAGCTTTGCACTGGGTGTTAATTATTCAAACTTCCTACAGCTCATATCCAGACTATGTGACAGCACTGTCACTGTGCTGTCTCTCTGTGAGCTTTGAAGTGAAGCTTTTCAATTGAGGTTACTTAAAGGAGCCGGAAAAACTGCTATCAAAGCAATTCATCGCTTTTTCTAGTGACACATCTGTTGCAATACAAGAACATAAATCTGTGATCACATTTTTTTGTTTTGTTTTTTTACTGTTTACCTGACAAAGTTTTTCTCCTGCAGGTATAGATGACAGGAGAGGGTCCACCAGTCCTTGGGGACCAGGGGAACAGACTAGCCCATCTTTCAACCAAGGAAGGGTACGAATTATTATAGCCCTATTCATTAGACTCAGACATAGCGCAGAGTGCAGATGTATTATTCTTCATAGTAAGCATGATTTACCACCTTATACCGCTTCACCACACAAAGTGTAAATTAATAAAGTGTCGTAGACTTTAACATTACAACTTTTAATACTGTTAGATACCTGGCTTCCTTATATCAGAGTTTAAGTTGTAACCCATATGATTTGGCAATATGATAATGAAGCTTTATAAAAATCAAGAGTATTTTTTTTATTTTCTGGTACATGAAATAAAAATGAAAGGATCTCATCGTTTTATTTTGATGGATGTATAGAAATCTGTGTGCTGTTTGATAATGAGTTATTGGGCTTACCACCCAAAAACCTCTGAGGGAAGCAGCATGGCAGAAGCTGTAGTGACATCACTGCCATGTCCACTCCATTGCTCTTTTTGGCAGTTGTTTAATGCAAGCCTTATAATTTGTTCTCCATTTCACCTCACTTGTGCTCTGAAAAAGAAACCGATCCGCTAACCAGAGATTAGGATCAGCCTATTTTCTGTATTTGATTAGGTCAAATTGTGAAAATATTTTTTTCTACTTTGCATAGTGTAAAAAAAACTAAAAACTTTTTTCATGTCCAGTCTGTCTGTATAAGTGACCAGCATATGCTTCAATCTTAGTTTAGTAAAAGTCAGATAAACAATAGAAAAACATGCTTCAATGCTTAGATACGAATACTAATGTTATTACTTTTTCTGTCAGACAACCTTCAGCATATTTGTTTTTGTCTCTTAAGTCTCATAGTCAAAATATCTGTCAATAATCTAAATCTGTGAGTCGGACTTCAGTGATAAGGAGACTTCTGTATTGGCTAATAAATAATAGATCCATCCAGAATCAAATCCTATTCTTATACTAACATAAAATGTAAGATGTATTAATATATGTGTTTATATGCATTTGTAGATAAGAAAAAAGAGATTTGAGGCCTTTTTAACCTCACTGATATCTTTGATTCTATTTCTTTCCATTAGGTTTATGAGGAGGGTTTGTACAGTGAGAGAGAAAGCCTGGCCTCTACCCCAGTATTTGGATCAGGGATCACTGGTAAGAAGATTTAAATGGACCATCACCACTTTCAAATCATTCGTCCATTTTTGCAAATGAAAGCTAACTGGTTAAATCTCTGTCAGAGTCGGACTAAGTAATGGAAGAACGTGTTTAACTGTAGCAAAGACTTCTGCATCAATGGACAGTGTGACTGAACAGAACAAGGAGCAGTTTGTTTTAGAGGGCAGCCATTCACAAGTCCAACACTCATGTAGCAGTTTAGGGTAGCGCATATTTCAGGATGAAGGGTGTACGGGGAGGATGTGGAGGAGGGGCTTGTTTGTGTGTGTGTTTTTTCAGTAAGGGAGGGGTGGGGGTGTAAAGGGCACCCATGCACAAACAGGGCTCTCCCTGGGGATAACAGTGGACTAAAGCTCCTCTCTGTTTAACTGTCAGTTGAGGGGCCAGAGGTTGACTACAATTGCCCCAGACACATTTGTGATGATTCCATTTGTTTTAATTTTTGCTGTTCAGAGCCATAAATAACACAGCATATATGTTTGTGAAGCAAACGGGATGAAAAGTTGGTTGTGTCATTTAACAGATCCATCAAAGCTGCATTTTTACAATCCTCGCATGTAAATGTTTTGGTTTTTATTTCACAGGGAAGGCTCAGCGAAGCTCTTATTCATCATTTGGGACGCAGGTAAATTGGTTTAATTTTCTTTTATGAGGTTTACATTTTGTCACTGGGCAACACAAACATGCAAACAAATAAATACATATATTAAACTTAAAGCCCTTTTTCAGAAAATGTGTTCAGAGCGTCTTTTAAAGATTTATTTTTAGCGGATTTCCAGTCAAGTTGTAAAGAACTTCTTAAACTTCAGCAAAAAATTGTAGAATCACATAACGCAACGCAGGTGTTAACATAGCATTGACTTCCCAGCTGTGGGCAAATATTTAGAACTATTCAGATTCACAATAATAAAAGTCACAAATGTATTAACTGCTCTAAATCATGTGAGCATAACAGCATAAATGCAGAATTGTTAGGATGAGTCCACCGTAGTGCTGCACACCATTAGTCCAGTGAATCTGATTAATTATACCTTTTTCATCCTTATCGCAGTTGTAGAACCATACTTAGAATTTCCTCGCAGTTCATACCTAATGTGTTGTGTGCTCCTTTTTTTAAACCTGAACCCTAGATCTACTCTAATGGTGGTAAATCTAGCTCACCAGGTCAGCAAAACACAAACCCTAGTTTATTACAACAAACAGCTTTTTTAAGCCAAAATTGTATCCAAGAAAACATCAAGTTTTTCTTTATGTAGACATTTTCTTATGCTGTTTCCTTTTTTTTTTCTCTGTAAACTGTCTGTAGCCCGGTTTTATGCCAAGTGAGTTACCCCTTCCCAGTCCTGATAGCCTTTCTCCTCCTGCTACCAAGTCCAATTCCCAGCTGTATTCATCCTATGAGAAGAGGAGAGCATCACAGGACCTCACTGGTAAGATTACAAGAAAAAAAAACAACAACATTTTTTAATAGTCTTTTAGGGATATAACAGTCATTAGACACTCATTTGTTTTCACAGATTTTGTTTTGCAAAGTGATCTATATATTTACCTTTTACCTAATTTTTTAAGCAGTTTGGTGTTTATTTCTTTTAAGGAAGGAAATTCAGCTTTAATTACTTCTAAGTTTAAAGAGCTGTAAAACTTTTGCTGGTTACTTTTCTGATCAGGTAGTTATGAGGCAACATAAAGGCTAATAGCTTGGAAAGGAAGAAAGAGATATAAATGAAAACTTCTATTTTATAATGTGTAGTTATTTTATCAGTAGATTTAGCGATGTTTCTTGACTGTTTATAAGCAGACTTACAAGGTTTCCCTTTTGAATCTTTCCCAGCAGAACCGCAGCCCAAAAAGATACGAAAGTTGCCACTTGGCCTTCCTTCCTCAGTAAGTAAAAGCTTCAAGAAAATATTCAGCTTTATGTTACACCTTAGTCTTTAACAGTCATACAAATAGCAATTTTCTGGCATTCATTTTGATGAATGAGCTATGATAGGAGCAGTGCAGACCTTTCAGATTGTACAGCTGTGCATCTGCTGCAGCAAAGTCCAAAAGCAACAGTGGGACTAGCCACTTATTTACCCAGTCACTCTTTTGCAGCATATATATATATAGTATGTTGTATTTTTGTACCATTGGCTTTGTGGCTACAGTTCTTGGTTTCTGCCAAGTATACTCCTCGAATCACGGAGGAGAATTCATACTTGAGGGGGTTGATGGTTCTTGTTCCCCTATCTTTTTTTCCTTCCTCCCTGTTTCCCTCCATGGACACCCTATTTCCTCATTTATTTTTTCTCTGCTCCCCCCAACCTCACACAGCCTTGCTCTCTCTCCCCTCTTCCACAGCCATAAACAACAGCCCTCCCCTTTCCCCCACTCCCTCCCCCATTCCTCTATCCCAGCTGCCAGCAGAGTTGGCTGCCGTCCAGGATTCGGCAGATGGTTCAGTAATTAGGAGTGCATCTCTCCCTTCCCTCTTCTCCTTTTCCTTCTCTTTTCCTCTTATTTTATTTTCTCTGTTTAATCAAATCACAGAAGAAAACTTCACTTCGCTCTGATCAGAGTTTTACGGGCATACTTCATTTCATGATTTGACAGAGCTTCCATTGATAGAGAGGTGCTAAAAAAACAGTGGCTCCTTTATTTCCATTTCAATATGCAGATTATTTTTGATTGGTTAAAACTTTATGAAGGTGGTGAGTTACATGCTAGTTTTTAAAAGCCTAGCATGATCAAATATAAATGAGACGGTAGATGTGAGCTTATAACAGCCAATACATTTAAAACTCTGATCCATCTAAAGAAATTTGTCTTTAGATACATTTCCAAACCAGATGAGTAAAATGCATATTAGCTGAGGAGGGATTTTAGCTTTTATGTTGGTCATTTTTGCAACTCCAGCTAAGCTACACATGGTTTATTAAAGGTTTAAAGCAATAACTTTTACATAAACTCTTCAAAGATAGTGTATTTTTTGTTTATAATAATAGAAAACATTTATTCCCATCTGAGTTATAAACAAGAGATTGTTTCCTTTCTTTTTGACTTTCTTAAAAGGAAGAAGTTTTCATAAGAGTCAGATTACTCTGCCTTTCAGCAATCGGAAAAGCCCAGATTGTGATATTGTTTTTAAAAGGTTGTCATTGTTTAGTTTAAATCAATTAAATAAAATAAGTTTCACCCCGGAAATCAAGACTGCTTGTGTGACATCAAGGTTGTATCAGAAAGGAGGAGACAAGTTCTTTGTTCCCTAGATTATTATTTTTTTTTTTTGGTCAAAAAAATATTTGAACCAACCCCAGAGCAAAAGCATAAAGATGCTGACTGAAGCTGAGTTTCATTACCAACTGTCAAAATATAAAGAAATATAAACTGAACATCATTGATCTCACAATGGAGAAATTAACTCTCTGCATTTAACCCATTCCCTTGGGGAGGGGAGAGCTGTTGTTGTGTGGCGCCCGGGGAGAAGTGTGGGGTTAAGGGTCTTGCTCAGAGACCCAGAGTGCAGGCTGTGGGGATCGAATCGGCTACTTGCCACCTTCTCAGAGCACAAGTGCACTGCTCTAACCACTAGGCCAACAGTCCCCCTATAAAATCACACTGTACCTATTCTTATCCAATTAGAAGCCCTTACTCTAAAAGCAACATAAAAAGACAAATCACAGTTTATAAATGCTTCGATTTTTGGTCTGTTTAAACTAAACCGGAAAATTTTGATGATGTAGACCACATATATATTTTTTGAAAGAAAACAAAGGGAAGCATGGAAGTCTAATGAAACCATCCCAGCAAGTCCATTGGTCGCAGCATCATGCTGTGTTTTTTAGCAGGAGGGACTGGTGCATAAAAACATTATGTGGAAATATTGAGGTAAGATCTCTAGAGATACTTCCTCGAAAGCAGGAAGAATTGTCCTGAGATCTGTGAATTCAAAAACTCAACAATACACGACATCCGGCTGAAGCAAAACAAAATGTGGGCCACTGAAAGTCTAAATGGAAAGCTATGAATGAATAGAGCATTGAAGCACAATAGATAAAAAAAAAATCTAAATCAAATTTACTTGTATAGCCCTTTACAATAGCCAAATGGTACACAAAGTGCTTTACAACAAAGCCATAAAACAATACATAACACATATAAAACATACAGGTACAATTAAAAGTGCTGTATTGGTGCAGTGCTGCAGGACATTAAAAGCCTTCCAGAGGTGCATAGAAAGGAGCACACAGAAAGAGGACATCTAAGAGACAGTATTATCCTAGTCAGAATTAAATGCTAATTTAAAAAAGTGGGTTTTAAGCTTTTTTTTAAAAAAAAAGGCTGAGGTCAGTAGTGGTGCGGATGAAAAACTGTTTTAATTAAAACAAAGTCATTATCTTTTCAGACTCTAAACCCAAGCCTGATATATATAATATATATGGACAGGTCTGCAAATGTATAACTCAGTAAAGCAGGCCTACTTTACACCAATTCTGTCGGGAGGAAATATCTTAAAATATGGCTAGAAGCTTGTGTAGTCATGCAGTGTAAAGGTAATTCTTCATGATCTATAAACACACTTTGGAAATGCAGGCAAACTACTGGACTTTTAGAAATCAGAAACATTTTCTCATAATTCTGGAAAAAACAATTTGAAAAATCGTTGGGCCAATCTGAATGATCTAGAATTGTCTGATTTAATATAAGTTTGAAGATAAAGTGGTGATTGTTTTTTAATGGGTGTATGTAAACTTTTGGTTTGAGCTAAGGGGTGGTCCACTTTTGTTGTTCTCTCAGATCCTGGTCTGTCATTTCTTCATGTTTCACTTTTTTTCCAGGTTTATCCAACACCCACTGGAGATGATTTCAATCGGGACACTTCTTGCTTCCCAGCCTCCAAAGCAGGAAATGTCTACCCATCTTTCTACGGGCAAGGTCAGCTGAAACAATATTTTCCTCTGGAGTCTCTACATGTTCTTTGTGTTTAGATGAAAAGTTTAGTCTGGCAAAGTCAACAATTTCCTGGAATTTTCCTTTGAAGCAGCTGGGAAAATCATCCAGTTTTAGGTAGAGTGTGTACAGATGAACTGTAGGTGCTGTAGTTGCAGCAGGACACTGGAATTATATGTTAAACCACAGCTGAATAAAGTCGTCGGGCTAATGTGACATGTCTCATATGTGGTCTTCATTGTCTTCTCTCCTGTGGATGGTTATTGCTTTCCCTTATTTTTTTTCCCTTTCTCTGCTGAATGCCCCCCTGACAGAAGGCCTCCACCCGCCCTCTGATCCTTGGGGCTCTGCTGGGTCGATGATTCAGCCTGGTTATTCTGCGGTGTTAGGAAACTCCCCCCATCTGGGCCAGCATGGTCCATTCACTGCAATCAACCCTCAAGACAGAATGGTGAGCTATTTTTTATTTTTATTTTTTTTCTAAAATGTTTCAAATCTTATATTTGTAATGAAGTATTTCATATATATATTTTAAACTATGTTGGATCTGCTCTTTTCAGAAACGGCATCCCCTTCCCCTCTCCCCGCAAAACTACCCCCTACACGGCAGTGAGGTGAATGGAGCTCATCCTGCCAGCTTCCACACAGGCTCTAGCAGCTTCGGAGTTCCCAACCATACACCCCCTATCGCTGGCACTGAAACTATTTTGGGTAAATCAAAATGTTTAAGATATATTTACATAGCTACTGCTGCCCTAAATTAAGATTTTATACTCCCTAACCTTTTTCATATTTTTATATCATGAGAAGTGCAATCTTCTATGTACTTAATAAGGATTATGTGTGATTGACTCTCACAAGTTGGTGCATAACTATGAAGTGTGAAAATGCTAATGGTATGCTTAGTGTTTGCAAATTACTTTGGTGAACCAGCAGCAGTGCTTTACTCTACACCTCTCTCTCTCATTTAAATGATGACCTGACAGAAAATTTTGGTGGTTTTGAAACCATAACTTTTAAATCCCCATATAAATTCATACTGATACTCTTACCAGAGAATAGTACCACCACGCTTTGCGGTGAAACATGGTGGCAGAATAATGCTGTGGGATGTCACCGCACTGACTTTGTCACGCACTCTAAGGCAGACTCGCTCAGTTTTCAAAAGCCATACGGGGCTTTTAACTATGATCAGTCTAACTTGTTTCGTCCAGATTTTTTCCAGTTTGGCTCTTCATACAAAATCGCAATTCACAGTCTTTTATGCAATTACATAATTGCAAAGCATGACATCGCGATTGTGATTAGATTAATCGTGAAGCACTAGTTTAAACCAAAGTATATTCATATGTTAGAATGACCTAGTCAAAGTTTGGATTCTCCTATAAAGTATCTTTGGCAGTACTTGAAAATTATGTTCACAGGTGCTCCCCATCCCAGCTAACAGAGCTTGGACTTTTATGCAAAGAAAATTGGGGGAAAATGTAGGTGTTTTATAAACTCAGGGGTTCAACTAACATAGTTCCATTTGTTTAAAAACAAACAAACAAAAAAAAAAAAGAGAAAAGGAAACTGTGTATTTTTTCACTTCACAGTTATGCAGTATCTTCATATTGCCACATATAATCCTCACAAAATACATTGAAGTCTGTAATTACACTATGATCACACGTTTAAGAGGTTTTAATACTTTTGCAAGGCATAGTAAAATGAATGTTTTCAACTAAAAGCTGTTTTTTTTTTCATTCAGCAAATCGAGGGGCTGTACCTGGAAGTTCTGGTGATGAGATTGGAAAAGCCCTGGCATCTGTAAGTGGTTATAGAGGCTAATTTGTTATCAAGTAATCCTATTACTTCCTTGAGAGTGAAGTTATTCTCTGAGGCAGTAAAATTAGAAGTAAATAATAATAATAATTTATTTGTTCAGGTTTATCCTTCAGACCCTAACAGTAACGCTTTCCCTCCATCGCCATCCACTCCCTCTCGCTCACCCCAAGCTTTATCAGGTGAGTCGAAAACATTTCTGTGAAAAAGCTCTATCCATTGGGTTTAAAGGTGACTGAAAATACATTATTCTGGCCTTTTCTCAATGTTTGTACTGGTGCGTTCTCATGTGCTCGTGTACTTGTGAAACATCATCAGCCTCAGCCCTAGTACTGTTCCAATTCACAACAACACAGGACTGAGAACGGACAGTCCCTGGATGTTGTTCTCGCCCCTCCTTCTTTACCGAGTATGCATCAGAGCAGACTTGTCTGTTTTCGAGAGCTTCTCCGGCATGCACCGCGGCAGCAGCAGCTTCTAGAGGAGGAGCGCTTAGAGTATCAAGTTAAAAGTTCTCTTTTCTGTTGCAGTTGTTCTATAAAAATACGTTTTAAGATCCTTTGAGGTGAGAACATTATACTTTTAAGCTTCACTATATGGCCTATTTACTGATTTAATGCGTAATTTAAAAAAAGTTCTGATGTTGAGAGGACTGTGTCAACCAGTGGACCTCCATGTCTAACCGCCACCTAGCGCTAACCTTTGCCATTCTGCAGCAGCCCACTCTCCTCATAGCCGTGTGTTAAGTACCGCTGGCTCTGATGGCGATTTGTTTTTTTGTTTTATTTGGCAAAATCTTTTTTTGATTTGTGTTTATCTGACTGCGTTACTTATTATTCCCCCACTAAATGAAAAAGTTGGAATTCATTATTATTTATTAATAACAAAAGGTGAAATGCAGCTCCAGACCAGCCGAGCATGTGGTGACGTCACAAGTAGGCTTCTGTTCCAATTGACCTATATTTATGCTGCGTGCTCTAGTTCTCCCTGAGTCCAGACTTTGCTGTGTTCTTTTTAAGAACATACTTGGCGAGGACACGAGTCCGTACTCGCGTTTTTGTGATCTGAGAAACGGCCTATGTATTCCATTACTATTAAAAGCTTGTATAAACATCACCATGACCCACGCCAGAGTAAAGAAAAAAAACCCAAGTATAGGATCTGAAAAATTATTATATTCAATTTTAATTTAATACCTCTGTCAAATGCACATTTATTTTGAAACATGTTTATTTTCTCTATTGATGTAGAATAAAACAAAGATCCACTTTGCAGAGATTGATGAAGACTAAAAAAAACGATGAGATTATCATGAATAGATGAAATCAGGATATAAAAGCTACAGTTATGTTAAAGTGTCATAAATCTTACTTTAATTTTCAAACTAGCATTCAATTTCAACTTAAGTCAAAATATGTGATTCTAATTAATTCTAAAAAAAAACAAAACAAAACAGAAAGCCCCCTAACCTTAAAAGCGGAACAGCAGTATCTTACTTGGGTTTTGTTTTACTACTCCATCCAAGGTACAACTTTCACTTTATAGATGTGGTACACTAGCAAGTAAACTCCCTGTCCTGATATAGCTTATGAGAGAGGAAGGGAAAATACAGTAAAAGTAAAAAACAAGGTGGGGTCACTTCCCTCTTTGTCTCTGCAGTCAATGCAGGCATTAATGACACACTTGGTGTGTGAAGTTCTGTCACAAGACCAGGGAAAACAGAGGGATGAAATATGTGAGGCTAATTAGGAAAAAGAATAGTTCTATGGCCTAAACATTACTAAGACATATTACAAATACAGTTTTTTTTATTATTATTATTTACATAAGTGAAATGTGAATTAAAGTGGGTTTTTTAAATTTTAAAATGTACCATGATTAGAAAACACAATCACTTACCTAATATAATATTGATAATAATAAATGACAACTGTTTGAAATATTTGTAGTTTCCTTGCATAGTTTTTTAATTTTTATGGATGCAGATTTTTATACAGTTTGCTGCTCTTCATTCCTAGATTTAGACAGTTTCTGCATGTAATCCTGGTATAAGAGCTTTATGGTCTTCATACCATCTGTAGTGAGACCTTTAGTTCTTCTGGTGGCTGAAATCACAGTTTGTAATCCCTGCTTGGATTGTTTTCAATCTGCACACTTACACATTTGGAAATGGTTTCTCCAAATCTGCCTTTGCGATTACATTCCTCCACACTGCATTGTTGTTTCAGAGTTGTCCTTTTAGTCAATCAAACAGCCTTCTGTTCAAGGCAAGCATTTCAGTTCTTGACTTGTTGGACTAGAGAACCCACTGTCAGCTTGGCTTTGTTTCCCCGTCAGAGGAATGTTCTCTGGCTTCTGAGACCAGACATCTCCAGACTGTAGGTGGGTGTAGCAGGGTCCTGGTGGTGTCTGTACGTTCTGAGCTGATGGCTGCCCGCCACAGTGTGGGACTTTAGAGGGCGATTCATAGTTGTCTCTTATTGGCGTCTTTCAGTTTTCATTACTGCCGCCTGGAACCTTTCTTTGCTCTTTTAAAGAAGCTTGTGCAGCACATTTTATCTCTCACAAATTTTTTTGAACATTTCTTCAGGTTTACCAACTTACTCCTGTTTTCTGTGCTGGAAATTAAATTGTATGTTTAGTGTTCAGATAAGCACATCTCAAGATTCATACACAGTCTTGAAAAACGTGGTATTTAACTAAAACGTTCTGTTCTGGACGTCGCCCTGGTAATTCCAGATAAATATGTTCCAGAAATACAGAAAATTGCTGATGTTTCCAGACCTTATTCCCAGCCCTGTTGCTTAAACATTGTGTCTGTCTGTCTTTCCGTCCGTCCGTCCGTCCATCCATTCATCCATCCGCTATCCATCATCTCTCTTTATTCCTTCCTTAATTTGTTCCTCCCTACCTCCTTGGCTACCTCTGTCAACGTTTTCCTTCGTTCTTTGTTCGTACCCTTTCCTTCCATGCTTTAATTTATTTTCTCCTTTCTCTCTCTTTTCTCTTTCGGTCCTTTCTTGCTTCTCTTTCTATTTGTTCCTTCCTTCCCTTGTCTTCTTCATTTATGCTTCCTGCCCTGGTTGTGTCCTTTTGGTTATTCCCTTTTGTTCTTTTTATTTTTCTTCTTGTTGTGATTACTTTTTTCTACTGTGAATGTTTTTCTGGTTCTTTTTTATGTAAAGCCCTACCATGATAGAAATACCTGCCAATTATTCACCCTGACATTATAGGTTAATGGACTGGGTGCTCTGAAAATGTATTTGGAAAAATTTGAATTGCGATTGTGTAGAAATCCTGTACCTCTGTAGAAAAACACAATCTTGTTTCTTCAACATATTACGCTAGTAAAGTATAATTTATACTGGGAGGTTTCCATCATGTAATTCCAATCCAAAAATGTGATTGTTGGATGAGTTCTTATTCTTTGTTTTTGTTTTTCAAGGCTCTGCCTCACAGTGGACTCGCTCCTCAGGCCAGGCCACCCCTTCACCTAACTTTGAGTCTGGAATTCAGTCTGTTGTGAGTCACCTTGTAATAAGGTTTAATGTAAAAAATCAGGGTGATCATTTAAATTTTGTATCAGCTTATAAGTTTTATTTTTTTTTCCTGCTCTGCAGCAGAGTAAAGTGGAGGACCACCTTGATGAAGCCCTCAATGTTCTTCAGCGACATGCCAGCGGACAGGGAGGACCGGGACTTGCTGAAATGCACAGCCTGCTGTCGGCTGGTTTGGGGATAACACCGGGCTTTAACAGCGCAGCGCTTGGACTGGCCAGTCGCCTGCAAGAACTGGTTAGAGTCTGAGGAGGGTTAAAAATGCTAAACATGAGTCACTTGGGGGGTGGGGTCTAAATTCAGTTAAATGAACTGTTTCTTTGCCTGTAAGTTGGCACTAACAGAAATAATTGCTTTAAAGGTTTCCAACCACCTTCAGGATTCTGCTGGTCTGCCCTCTGGTGGAGGACTTTTGCATCACGGCCCTTCATCTGTTCATTCAGGCTCCCACTCTGATGTTTTTACAGGTGGGATGTTATACCCATAATGCTGTCTATAGATTTGACCAGAAATGTTCAAGTTGCCTATTTTACTTATATATGACAAATATTTCCATAAATCATCATATGAAGATTTGCTCAGTGCCTTATTGTTTCTGTGTGTAGGTCTGACTGGAAGCGGGAATCGTTCCAGTGGCACAACTATCAAGAGAGAGGAGAAGGAGGATGATGAGAATTGTTCTGTTACAGACAAGTCAGAGGAAGACAGGAAAGATCTGAAAGCTCGTCTTCGAACCAGGTGTCCAAATCAAAACTGCACCGTCCTTTTGACATTATTTTGAATAGTATCAGAATATTTACAGCAGCATAATTAGACAAACCTAATTAGATGATTGAAGATTCTTCAGGTGTAATTTTAATGCTAAGAGAAATTGAGGAATTTTACTCACTAATTCAGTTTCTGTGTTACAACACAAAACAGGACAATTGTTGGGAATAGTTTTATTATTATAATAATGCCTTAAAAATTGTTTAGGGTATAAATCTGGCCATAAGTTTATGTCCACTTATGTGAGGGATGAATATCAAAAACAGTCTGGGCATTCTTTTTTTAAGCCTAATTTATTTTGTGAGTAATCATTACACAACAAAAAAAAAAAACAATGATTTGTTTCACAAATTAAGTTTACTGCAGTTTTTCTCTAATTTACATATGAATCTGAACTAAAGGGCTTTTAGCATTCAAAACATTTCTGGTGTAATTTTCTGTAAATAATTTGATCAATCTTTGATGCAAAACTGATCAATCATATTGAAATCATTAGATTACGTGTCATAGACCTGGCTTTTAGGCAAAACCTATCAACATCTGAAATGGAGCAGTTCAGAGGGTAAAGCAGATCAGAAAGCTTTTATTTTTTCATGCAGACCAGAACCAATTTAGATTTAAGCTCAGAACTTCTTGGAATTTCCAGTTGTGTTCAGGTCTTAACAATCCCACCCCAAGTCCAGTCCTTCGAGGAAGGGTATTTGAATGTTAAAAACAACAGAGCAAACACCAGACCTTAATGAAGTGGAATGTGCTGGAACTCCAGAGTCTCTGTCCTTACATCACCGCTACCTAAGAAGGCACCAACCACGAGAGAAGTCTTAGAACAAGTCTAACAACTTCCAACTCAACTAAAACTTGTAATAAAGATTAGACTATTTAGTAGGAAGAATACTTGCAGGTGTAGAAGTAAAGTCTTAAGAGCAGAAAACAATGAATCCGATTTTGCGTCATATCCAACAGAAAATCGTGTCGGAAGAGGTCATGGCTTTTAGCGCTCATTGAAAGTCAATAGGGATGATAACATCCGACACAAATTTGTGCAAAGGGCCTTGTGTATGTCCGACCGAGATAGACCCCATGTCTATTTTAGTTTAGTTTAATTCAGCTACATTTCATGGGTCTGATAGGAAGAGAGACGCAGCTACAAAGTAAAACACATCCGCTTTGGGGGAAAATGCAAAATAAAACTGAGTCGCACAGAGCATGCACAGCCAGCAGAAAAGACTCATACAAAAGCATTCAATGAAACATTGAAAAATATAATACTTTACCCACAATAGAAGTTCAGGAGGACAGAAAACGGATAACGGATTCAAAAAACCCATAAAAGTTCAAAGTGATGACATTTGTCCCTATCATAAGTGGATCTAAACACCAGACTGCAACTGTAGATGTTAAGTGCCAAATGGGACTCTTGTCCAAATGAGCTATACCCATATTATTGTTTCCTTCCCTCCTTATCTGCTATGGACTCATCAGTAGTCTGGATGATGAGGAAGACGAAGAAGATCTACCAGTGGAGATAAAGGCTGAGCGGGAGAAAGCACGGAGGTTGGCAAACAACGCTCGCGAGCGGCTCCGTGTGCGGGACATCAATGAGGCTTTTAAGGAGCTGGGCCGCATGTGTCAGCTCCACCTCAGCTATGAGAAACCCCAAACCAAATTGATCATACTGCAACAGGCGGTTACAGTCATACTCAACCTGGAGCAGCAAGTTCGAGGTCAGTGGGTGTCCAGAGAGAAAGGAAGCAGAGGGGGAGACCTCTATCCAAATTAAAACTCCCACACAGCTTCAAGGCTACATAACTGGCTTCTAAATCCTAACCAAACCTTATACTGAAGTTGGCTAATGATTTTAAAACGGTTTCCTGCTTTATAGTTCCTGATTTGGTTCTAAAATGGTCTATAAGCAAGAATAGAGTGTTAGAAAATAAAGCTGTGTCACAGTTTTAAGACGTTCTCCAGTTCACCCTGAAAGGTTTCCATTTTCTCATAACACAAACGGATCTGTTACTTCTCTTAACGTGTCTGCTGCCTGGCTCACAGCTTGCTGTCTGTCAACACTGGACTTAATTAACGCTTGTTATGCATTCATTGAATATTTTTTCACAACCGCTTTTATTGTGCTTGCATTAAACAACTGGGTGATTTTAATTAAATGTCTATTAAAATAACCCTGTTTTTTTCCAAATTAGACTTATTTGCCTCAAATCAGAGCTGTGTGCTGTGAATTAACATCCCTTCATGTTTGTGTTCTTTGTTCTGCATGCTCCAGCCTTTCAAACATTAAACCTCTCATGCTTTTTGCTACTCTGCTTTCTAATGCTTTACGTCGGCACTCTTCCTTCCCTCATTTGCTCTTGCAGCTGGCAACAGGGACAACCCCTTTTTCCCTCTCAGATAAATGCATTGCTTGCTGATGTATTTAACATCGATGCCAATCGGCCTTCCTCTCCTGTTAACTCTACCTCTGTGCCTCTTTCTGTGTACGGCATTTGGCAGAGGGCGTTGCTTCCTGTCTTTCTCATAACTCCTGTCATTTTGTGAGACGGTGTCCATATCCCCCGACTTCCATTCTGGACCCTAATGACCAAACTTTATGCTCTCTATATGTATATTTGAAACCACTTCATCTTGACTCTATATTTGCCTAAAATCGGTTGAAATTGAATACCAATATGCAGGAAGGAGATGCCTCTTAGATGAATTATTATTATCACTTCGTCCGTTCTCCGATAACGCAGCCCCTTCTCCACTGAGATCTCATTTAACAGTTACACTCATCTTTGCAAAGTATTTGGCCTACAAAGAAGAGGCTGAAAAGTTTTATTCAAAATATACGTTTAGATTGTTTAGGTATATCCCTGAAGGTTTGTGATTTGGGATTCTTAACCAGACCCTCCAACCTCCCCCCCACTTCTCCTCCGTGCAGCAGCCTTGTCTCTTTGAGCGACGAGAACCTGACTGCAGAGGAGAAGGAGCAGAGGGAGCGCGAGCGTCGCCTGGCTAACAATGCTAGGGAGAGAGTGCGTGTTCGCGACATAAACGAAGCCTTCAGAGAGCTGGGCAGGATGTGTCAGGTCCACCTGCAGAGCGACAAGGCCCAGACCAAGCTTGTCATCCTGCAGCAGGCTGTCCAGGTCATCCTGAGCCTGGAGAAGCAGGTGCGAGGTAGGTCAGCCGGTGCAAGCAGGTCTGATCCATTTAGACTACTTTATTTCTCTAACTAAAGATGGACACTGGGAGGTCGGTTGTTTAAATCTGTCTTCACTGACTGCTCTGTGTTCATTCTCGCTCCCTCTGTGGTTCTGTGGCAAATACATGAAGACAGGAGATGAGGAGAAAGATTAAGGAAGTATAGCCCTGCTTTCTGCCAAATGCTTGCATTTCTTAACACACACACTATCCTTCTGTCTTGCTTTCCCTCTTCCACTGTTTTTTTTTAAATTCTCTTTTATTGTTTTAGTATTTTAAGCTAGAAATGGTCTGAATGACATTTGTTTCTGATTATCTTTTTTTAAGAGCGTAATTTAAACCCAAAAGCCGCCTGCCTCAAGAGGAGAGAGGAGGAGAAAGTCTCAGCGCTCGACCACCAGATGCAGCTGGGTGGGGGTCACCCCACTATAGGAGGGGATGGGCACAACCCTGTGAGCCATATGTGATACTCAGGTATGTCTTCAGAAACATAGAAAAAGCAGAATTTAACTTAGCTGAAAGTTTAAGTGGACAGCAGTCTGCTGAATGCAGCCTGCTGAGCCCCGGGAGGAATGAACACTGAATGGAAGCAGTTGGCATTTGAATGAAGCCATGCTGCTCAGCAAGAGTGTCTCTGATTGGGTCATGATCACATCTTACATCAGGTACATACCCCCAGCTAATGCATGTGATAATGTAACCTCATTAAATGGAAACATGTCTTTCTTTTTTATAGATATCATTACTCAGTTTTAGTTGCTAAATTATAATGATAGTAATGTTTCATTAATATACTGTAGTTAGTATACTTACTAGTGTTTTGTGTAGTGTATTTGAATTAATTTAAATATGAAAATGACAACTAAAAGAGTCATTTGCAAGTAACATCCCTGGTGAGTGCATGTAGTCCCTGTGGAGAAGTGGTTTAAATCTTTGCCTGTAATGCTGGGTTTGATTCTGTGAGCAGGTAGTGAAAACTTGCTGTGATGACCTCTGAACATGGGAGCAGCTGTAAGGACACAAATGCTTAAAAACAAATATGTTTAGTTTAATTATGAAATATATTAATTTTTAAGACGTTTGCAGCAGCAATATTTGTGCTAAATATAGAGGTCCTGTAGAAGTTCTTAATTAGACATGCTGTAGTCCTTTGATAAAAATTAGTCATCTACTGTTTTATTCTTTACAAACATCAGATATGTTAAGGTGACATTGTATAGACGCCATATAGACGTACTTTTAAGAACTGGGTATGTTAAGAAAGTAAAGCAAATTTTCTGCACCTGCACTGGACGGCGTAATGGTGTCCAAAAAATGGCATTGAGATATTGACCTTATATACAATTTGTAGGCATCCATAATAGGTCATCAACCGACCATCCATAGGTAGGATCTACATGTCCAACAGACGTCTTTATTTTTAGTGGGTTTAGATTTTTTTAAAAAGGCAGATTTAGACTTTGCTGCATCATCAGCTTAAAAGCTAACTTCAGTGTTGTGTTATCATAAATTATGGAACATTTTTATTGTTAAACTTGAGTCAAACATTCAGGCTTCAAAAAAGGAAATAGAAGAAAAAATTAGTCTGAATTCCACTGCGGGAGAGTGTAAATTATTACCTATATTTTTATTTTAATAATGGTGATTTTCACTTGAATATAAATATTTTTTTTTTCTCTTCCAGTTCCTGTTGTCCAGCCCTATGAACATGTGGCCTTATCGACCGTTGTTGTGCATCTCAGTGCGTGATAATCACGCAAACACCTCATTACTGACAAAACAGGCGGCCACATTCCTGACCGTGAGAACAAAGAAGCTCACAGGAGAAAGTAAAAGAATAAAAACCTTAGTCGACCTTTACGTGAAAGTTCTTGGGACTGTACACACTGCTTTCGGAGACAGTGAATAATGGACTAAAAGAATGCTCTTATGATCGTGTATTTGTAGAACATTGTAAAAAAAAAAAATTGCTTTATACATTGGGAGCAAAACCTGTTTGGATCAAATAACACTTTTGGATCAATTGCTCTTCTGAGTGAAGTTGGGATTTTTCTTGTTAAGTATTTATTGGCATTCCCATCAGAAAAAAAGAGGTCTTACATTCTTTACAAGCTGAGAAGGATGGTTTGTATCTGAAGATTGAAGAAGAAAAAAGTTTAACCATGCCTTAATCATGCCCTATGTGTGGTGTTTGTTTTGACTCCTCCCCATGGCTGGGCTGCAGAAGATGGAGATGTTGTGCCTCGCTAAAGCATTGCAACCACAAAGATCAGTGTGTTTTGTTTTGAAGATTTTATGTTATACTCCCCAAACCAAGAAGTGTTAGATTTTCATAAGTGCTTCAAACAAAAAAAAACTAAAAAAAATCAAAGCTCTAACTAATTAAATTGGTTCTTAAATTACATTTTTCTTTATTTACAGCTGAATGTTGGAGGGAATTTCTCCACCAGCTTTGCTCATCTAATTCTTTGAAAATCGACGCCAGTCACTTAGAGTCGTATGCACTCCTTTACATGACTGTCAAAATAAAATCCAGATAAACACACTGAAATTTGGGGTTAAAAGTGACAGAATGGAGAGCAGTTCAGAGGGGTGTAAATCTTTTTGTAAGGCACTTTACCCTGTGAATCAGAAGAAATTGGCAGTTTTTTTTTCAGAGTTTTTCTTGATTTTATTTCAGTGGCTGACTGTCACTGACTGGGTTACTTTTGTGTTCTTGGTTCAGAACTGTGAACTCCCCTCTGGCTCTTTAATTCACATACAACTTTTATTGTCACTGCAATGCAATGCAACTGGAACAGAAAGGCTGCCAAGAGAGACAAACACACGACTCGCACAGGGAGGTTGATTTAGGTCTGATTTAAACCAAACTAACAGCCCATTCGGCCCAGTTCTGGGGAAAGCTGTCAGACCCAAGCATTCTTCGACACACACATGATCCTGCACACATCATATTCCACATGAGTCTGCTGTTACAACATGGTGAATCATTTTAAGTCTAACAGCAGTTTGCCTTGGGATGAATAGCATTTTGCTTGTAGACAATTTACTAAGTATTGAAAGGGATCATGAGTGTTACTGCTACCTTTAAGATAGTTTCCTCTTTAGCCATTGACTGACTTGTTTTGGTTGCTCTGTGTTGAGCGTCCTTATTGACCCCCCTTATTGAACAATTGTGAGGCCTGTTATAAGGATCTTCCTGTTGTAGAATTCATATTATGTCTTTGTTTTTGTATTTTATTTTTTACCTTGTAACATAGTTGTTTTGTTTGTATTGTTTGGAATGCGCTTTCCTCTTTGTTTACATTGTTTTAATGTAAGACGACAAAGTTTAGATTCCACCAACAAAGTGAGGTGTTTTCTTTGGTGCCAGGGGCTTGGAAATGTTAGCAATGACAAATTATTCCGCCATAACGTCACATGTTGTGATATTGGTCTATTTTCTTTTAGGTTTTAACACACCAAATGTAATGATACAGGTGTAAATTCCTTTTGTTTTTGTTTTTTTTATATTTAAACAAATTATTTCTTTCCTTTGTATACCTCCCTAGGCGGTTACAAACAAAATTTTGTTTAATTCTGATTAAAAACAAAATTAATATAGAGTGAAAAATGTGGCCTTTGTCATTTTCCCAACTTTGGGAGCTTGGATAATGGTTACTCCACCAGTGCCTGAATATTTCCCAGTGGAGGACGTTATTTCAGAGTTTTATCACTTGTGTCTTCTTGCAGTAGAATGTATCTACACTTCATTATCATCTGCCACATGAATTACGCTTGATGATGTATCCAATACATGTCATGAAATGTTACTTAACAAGTAACCGGATATACACATTAAATAACTCCTCTTTTACATTGTTTGGTTAGGATTTTCCCCTTAGAACTGGCACATGAATTAATACATATGTACAGTTGTAAGATATCTTTGTCAGCTTTGTCGCATGAAGCTGATGCTGATAGGGATCAGTATTTGTCATAATGTCTCTTATCCTGCCCAGTGGACAAGCCTCAATGATTCAGACATTTCCCAAGGAAAAAAAAACAGACTTTGTTTAATTTGGAAAACCACTTTTAGAGATTTTCTTTTTTTGTTAGTGGATATTTCTGCAGTAATCTTGTCTAAAAAATGTACAATTGATATGTATAACAGACCCTGTCTGTCCTCAGCGAACGATATCCTGCTACAGATTTCTGTCTTCTCATGTTTGGGGACATTATCTATGTAGGCTATGTCCTCAAAGTGCCTCCAGTTTCCTATTTTTTTATATATAAAGTAGATATTGAGATCTGTTGTGTATATAACAGTGATGTAGCAATAAATGTGCCATTTTTAATATTTGTTCTTCCTGTCGTTATTTAAACCTTAATATTAAAAAGTTTCATTTTTATTATTAATGACCGTATTAATTTGATTTATGTTAAGATTTTATCTTATAATTGTTTTGTTTGCGTAAATATTTAATTCATAAAAACTAGTCTGTTGGTGTGTTAAATGTGTCAGTGTCTCTATAAACAAGAAACTGGCAAAGCAAACAGTCCTGACATAGTTTGATTTTTATGTTACTAAGACTGTGTATAGTTAAAAAAAAATAAAAATAAATCACCGCGTATAATGTTAAATTTGTATCCAAATCTGATAAAGCTGAAATGAAGTGTTTCCAGGTGGATTATGTGTGATTCTAAGATTCTGCAGTGAGGCTATAAGGGATCTAATTGTACCAAGATTTGGGTCACAAGAAAAGAGCAAAAGGTCTCCCAGCATTATTCTGTCCCACAATAAAAACCTAATTAAATAACTGCTAGGAAAGTATTACAGGGATGAATAAAAAAGTGGATATCACTGCTTATTTTTAAAAGTCAAGGCAGAATCAGGAAAACGGACAGCAATCCAGTCTAGGATTGTTTGTGTTCTGTTACAAAGTATTATCTATATGTCTGGACTAAAAGAGTTTTATAGACAGACCCTGTTTTATCCTGGTAAAAACTTTATAAAGGGACCAGATGGGAATATGGACAACTATTCTGAAACCCTGAACATGCATCACTGGAACCTACTCTGTCACAACAAGCGAAACGAGCAGTGGGATATGGGGAGAGACCAAGACTTAAAAGAATTGGATATAAATCTGAAGGTCGAGATAATGTTCATTTCTATATTAGCAATAATTATTTCTTTGCTAATAGGAAATTATCAAAAAATTATGTTGTTTCATAGGACATCGTGCCACTCACAATATGATGGAGGTGATAAAGTAGAACAATAGTGTGCATATATATATAAATATATATATATATTATATAACTTTTTTTTTTTTTTTTCAAAACTTGAAAACAAAATTGAATCATACATTACAATCAGGTACCACCACAGAACTAGATAAAATCTCTTAAAAATGTGTATAAAACATCTTAATATACAAAAATTAAAGAAAAACAAGAAGGAACAATACTAATACAGGGGCATAATAATATTAGGCTTAGTTTAAGAATCAAGAAGATTTAATTTACTCAAAGAAGAAAGATTGCCCTCTCAAATTTTAAAGACTTTGCCTAAGATTCATTTCATTTTTTTCATTGGGATATAAATACTTTATATTTTAAAAGAAGGTATTTGTGTAAATACAATTTAGACAATAAAATTAAAAGATTAACAACAGATTCATTATCTCCAATTTTGGTTATAATACTGCTCTTACGGTAAGGTCAGGAAACTGAATCCCTTTAGCATGGATCCACATCAGAAAATCAAGCCAAAGGCTTTGAACAACAGCAATCAAGGAAAAGGTGTTCCAGACTTTCACTTTCAACCTCAAAAAAATCAGTTTACAGCGGCAAAATTCAGCTTAGAAATTAACAGGGTAAAATCTGTTGATAATTTAAAATTCAATTTCTTGCATTTGAGGTATTTTTATTATTTTTTTTAATTTGTACAGAAATCTTTGAGGATATATGTATATCATCTTATTGTTACATCGTGTGCTGATAAAATGACATCATCTATAAAAAATATTCAAAATTTTGGAGAAATGTCCGAAAATGATACATCTTGTCTAACCATAGCCTGAAGAGGTCAAGGGGATGCTTTTAAGATCTGCATATATTTACTCTGGCTACAATAGATTCAATATTTTTCACAAAATTTTTGAAAACATAACAGCCCAGATTCCTTTTTTTATTCCAGTCGTCAATAAATATAGATTTCCTACTACTCAGAACCTATTCTTCCAGATAGTGGGGAGTAAAACTATGGTTAAAATGAGTTTCCAGAAATAAAAAAAAAAAATAATAAAGAAGAACCTGTTAATGAAAACCAGACAGTTTACGTGGTACTTCATTTATCTCAAAATCATATTGTAAAAGAAATTGAATTCCACCTACCTTTTTGCACACTAAATTGGGTATAAATGATCAATTGAATGATTATTCTTTAATATTACTAGTCTGTCTTTTCACCGCTTTTATTTTGAAAAGAAGCGGAAGTAATTGAGTTGTGAGGAGCCGGAAGTTCTTTTTAAAGCAGCGAGTCCTGTAGGTAGAAGGGCATCTGTCAGTGAAAATGATTGGCAAAATCGTCGGTCAGAAGTATATATCTATCGCCAAGTCGTGGTATGTATCTTAATGTTGGAGTTTTTGGTAAAAGATTGAATGAATGAAATATTTAGAGAGCTAAGTCGTGTCGTTGTCCTTTCAGAAGTTAGCAGTTAGCCTAGCCGAGGTCATAGCAGTAGGGACAGAGGTGTGAGTTTAGCCTTTTAGCTAAACTCTGGATCAAACCCCTGTGAAATTGTAACAGTAGTTTTATAAACAGCACTCAGAATTATTTCGGATTTTTCCAGAACAATTATAAAGTATTGATAAATGCCTCCTGTGTAATTTAGTGGTAGTTGAAGGTGAATTATTAGCTAGCTGTGTGTTTTAAATACATTTGACATAAAAACAGGAATGAAAGCATTACGCTAAACTGTTTTTTATATATGGACTTGATGAAAAGTATTCGTATGATATAAATCATTACAGCAGCTAAACTGGAAGAGACAAGGGACAGTCATTTTTTTTATTTTGCCCTGACTGTTCAATAACTGAATCACAAAGTCACAATTTCTGGGGATTGTAGTAGTAGGTTTCAGCATAGTTTTGGAAGATCTTGAAGGTTTTTAAACCGATTTTAAATATAAAAATATAAACTAAAAGATTTTTAAACATATACAATTTTACATTACCTTTTTGAGTTAATTTAACTTTCTGGAAGATAAAGCCACCCTGTGGAGAAAGCTCAATTCATCTGCTTGTATCCAGGATCTCGTTCTTTTGGTCAGGATCCAGATTTGTTGACCATAGGTGAGGGTAGGAACATAGACTGACCGGTAAATTGAGAGCTTTGCTTTTTAATTCAGCACTTTCTTCACCACAACAGACCGGTGGAGCTTCTGCATTATAGCAGCATGCAGCAGCAACACTGATCCGTCTATCAGCCTCCCGCTTTGTTCTCTCCCTACTCCTCCGCTTGAGGCAGGAACTCTCCTCCAACCTGAACTTGGAGGGGATGATATTCACTGCCACTCTGGCTGCAGACTGCCCCATTGCATGCTTTAGTTCTTAGAAGGAGTGAGCCAGCAAAAGCATGCCGTCCACAAAAAGCAGGGAGGAGATTTGCTGGTCCCTGAACCAGACCCCCTCCAGCCCTTGGCTGCACCTAGAAATTTTGTCCATAAACGTTATGAACAGGAGAGGTGACTGAAGGCTGCTCTGACGGAGTGCAACATGCACCGGGAACAGGTCCGACTTATTGCCTGGAATGAGGACCAAACCCCTGCTCCACTTATACAGAGACTGTATGGCCCCTAGAAAATCCGTCTGTACTTGGAACACACCATCTGGTCCACCTTCATATGCAGAGGAACCACCACCTTGGTCTGCCAATCTAGGGGCAGTGTCCCTAACTTCTACGCAATTTTGAAGAGGCGTCTTAGCCAAGACGGCTAGAAGACATCTGGAGGTACGTGGGCCGGATCACATCCACCCCCAAAGCCTTACCATGTGGAGTTTTTTTAACAACCTTGGTGACTTCAGCGTGCTTGATGAACGAATCACATCCCAAGCACCCCAACTCTTCACCACAGGAGGTGTGTCAGCCAGTGTTCCATCCACCGTCCAACAAAGACCCATCTCAGGGACCGCAGCTTCCCACTCCTACTGAAAACAGTGTTTAGCACTGCTTTCCTCTCTGAGGCGGCGGACGGTTAGCCAGAATCATTCTGAGGCAGACCCATAGTCTTTCTCCATAGCCTCCTCAAAATCATTATTATTCATAATAGTGTAAATGCATTTCAAAATAAACAATCTCGGTATAAAAAGTATAGACTCATTCTTTTTATCACGTTTGGAAAAAAAATCTCAAATCTCAAAATATATTGCCCAGCCCTGAAGTATTTTAACATTACCTCCACAGTTTTTGATAGATTGAGAACTCATCCTGCAACCTGTTGAGATGAGAACAGCTGCATTTTGATCTATACCGTAGTCTGGGGACAGTTTGGCACTTAACGTAGAGCAAATATTTTCTCTCTTTTGTAAAATAAAGAAACCAAAAAAAAAGTCTCTAAAATTAAAATATCGAAGTGTGTTTTTTCTGTTGTAACATTTGACCACTTTGAATTCAAACGGCTCATAAAATCATCTTTATTGAAGTAATGAGGTTTGAAAGTTGCTTTTTTATCTTTTTTAATTATTGTATAAATTGCTATGATGATACTGCAACACGATTAGCTGACCCGTTTTGTGTTGTTCTCAAACGGATTAAACTGGAGATAGATTCTCTTGTGTATACATATGGAGTTCAGGTAGCAGGCAAGGTTCGCCTCAATATGTGGTGCTCTAGAATAATGAAGGGGTTTGAGTTGCTTAAGTGTCTCAGACCAAATGCTCTTTACTTTTCAGGGTTCCTACTTTGGCCATATGGGGAACAACTGGAGGCGTGGCCTTGGTCTACTTCACAGACTGGCGTTTGATCTTGGATTATGTTCCCTACATCAGCGGCAAATTTAAGAAGGATGAGTAGATCAGTCAGGTCAGTAGAATAGAAACCAGATTATCTTGAATATCATTTCCTCTGTCTAAAAAGACTGTTGCTTTTCTGCCTTTAATAAAAACGAAGATAGTTTCTGATGCTGTATTATCCAACTGAATACCATATCTGACATGAAAAAAATGAGTCTGATTTGTTATTTTTTAAGTACAGGGTTTTATTTAAAGTCTCACAAATTTGTGCTGAGTTACTTTCTTTTTTGTTGTTGTTTTGACATTAATTTAAACTCTGCCTGCTGTGTTTCTAGAAGTACATTTTATTATATTAGAGTTGAGTAATGTAAAAGCTGATTTATTAAAGGTGCTTTGAAAAACTTAAATTGCATATTTGATTTGGGAGCAAAAATAAAGGAAGGAAAAAAAGAATCAGGGTGTTTTAAGCACCAAGAAAATGGTTGGTTCACATACCAAATATATGTGGTGAAAAATAAACCATTTCTTCAGCATTGTGAACACCTTCTAGGATGCTAAAGCTCAGAATGAGTTGATTGCATTTTATTATGATGGGGGGGAAAAGAGATGAATGGAAATCAGAAGCAGATTAAATGCCAAGCAGGTCTGCTTTTACAAGCAATTTGACTTAGTACTGATGGTGCAGATGAACTATATAATATATATATAGTATCTATAGCTATATACAATATAAAACGTACAATATATAGTATATAGCCATGTACTATAAATGAGGGTTGATTGGAGTTCCCATTAATATTGTAATGCTCAAAACAAAAAATGTCTAAATTTGTAAAACCTTGGTGTAAGTATAGGAATCTTTGTTCAAATTCCACAATTAAATTACAAGTAAAGTAGTTTCTGATATGACAATTCTTGCTTGGGTTTTCTGAGCAGAGTGTTTAATAAAATGCTATCTACTCTGTTGGGATCCATCAAATCAACTTTGTTTGCTATGTATAAACTTTATTTAGTAACCCCCTAAAATAAAACTCGCTTAAGATTTTAGATCCTCCAATATAAATAATATGCAAACATCAAAATAAGCCTAGTAAGACTTATAATAGAAGCTTAAATATTTTGGAAAAATACTATTTGTGATTAGCTTTGTTTTGGAGGTTGGATTCCCAGGACAGAAGGTGAGGAATTTGCTGATGATAAAGATTTTAGTGTTTAGAAAAACAGAACTTTTCAATTCCTGGACAGTGACATGTTTGGCTTTGGCAGCACAGTTGAGACTAAACAAAATTCTGAGACAATCGCTCTGTTTAGATGTCAGAATAACACTGAACTACTGTGGAATACGTCTGATAAGTATCGGCTTGTCGTTTTCTCTCCTCAGGTTGTTGCCGTTTCTTGTTTGCTCTGACGAACATGGTGAGCATGAACCTCTGCAGCCTGACTGTGGTCCTACTGCTGGAGAGCCCGTCATTATCATCACCTCAGCCAACACTGAAATGTTTTCATCAACTTTCAATGAAATCCTTTAGCATTTGATGTTTTCATTGTCTTCTGCCAGTGTAAACAAAAAAATGGATGAAAAAGATAAATAATGGTGACAACTCTGCTACTTCCTCTCTTCCTGTTCAGTCCGGGGATTTATTTTTTTTTTATTTTTTAAGTCCTACTCGTTATTTGGATCAGATTTAATTTTTGTCTCTGCTTCAAAGAGAAGAAGTAAACTATGTATTTTATGCTGTGTTTGTGTGCTTTTTTATGAGCAACTGTAAAACTACGAATACCTATAAAACCGGGTTGATGTATTTTTTACATCCTAAATTAAATTCCATGAGGAATTTGCTCACAATAAGGACTGTTTACTTAATCAGACCTTTTATTTGTTGGAATGTGCAATTATAAATAAAAGGTCTTTCATTCTTGTTTTAAAAGACCACGAGATAGGGATCAGCTGATTAGTTTGTTGAAGATGATTGTTCCTCTACATTTCTAAAGCTGCTTAACCTGCTTCCTTTAATTTGGCTATATTTGATCTTATGAAATTATTTCGACCTTCATACGCATTACAGATCAAACAAAAGACTATAACATTGTTAATAAACTAGTATTGGTTCTGATATAAATTCAGCTAAATTTAGAAAAATAAAAAATATAGATTTCCAAACAAAAAACTGATTTCAATATGAATTCAAGATTGTTCTTTAACCACAGCTGTGTATTAATTTTGTAGGTTTAGTAATGGTGCAAAATGTCCAAGATTCTATGAATCTTTATTTGCATATGCAGTATAAATGCTTTGCATATAATAAATAAAAAAGTAAATCCTGTAGATTTAGGGTTCTCTTGCTTTCTAACGCTGCAAGAGAAAGTTCAGGGGATCATTTCGGACTAGTTTACAATGTTGTGGCGCATGCATTACAGTAGATTATATTATGTTGCGCGCCCGGCGGAGTGATCTAGAGCGTCAAAAGGTCCTGTGACAGCAGGACTCGACTGCTAAACATACTGTAATTTCAGAGCAGGTAGATAGTAGACTTTTCCTCTATTTATTATCGCAGAATCTCCAGCCAGCGCAGCGATACAACCGGGACCATGGAGAGAAAGAGGTGAGGCGTTTAATTGCGTGCTAGTTTACTTGTTTTAACAACGGAGTGTGCAGACACGCGTTCGCCCTGTAGTTAAACATTCATTAGCATGTGTACATGTCGGTGTTATTTGTTTTCACTGTCACCGTTCTAAATAAATTCGCGCCTTTCGGGCTCTTTGGGTTGTTAATTGAACTAGACTGGATGCGTTAAAACTTCGTGTGGGTCGTTGTTGTTCTCCAGGGTGCTAGCTTGATTAGCTAGCTAAGTTTCATTGTTTACACACGCTTGAGTTGCGAGGGCGCAGGGCCCGGTGTTACACTTTATTCTGTAACCCCAACACTGGGACCGTGTGACGACTTCCTGTATTTAAAGAGATAGCGCACTTTTTTCCCGTAGAAAACAAACATAACGCACAAGAAACTGCGCAGCACAATATCACATAAATTTACTACAAAGTGCTTGAATGTGGCAAAAAAGTTATTAATGTCGGATTATAACGTGTACTATTTTTTTTGTTGAAAATATAAGCATTAAAAATGACAATATTATACATTCATATTTACTTTATATAATAAACCAGTACTGTACAAAGTCTCGTTAAGGTACAAACATTTCAACATGGGTAGAGAAAGAAAATTGACAGAACATGGGGCTAAAAACAAGAACAGATATATAAACAATAAGGCTAATGAATAAATATAGACCAAAATTTAAAACCAAGGAAAAGTAGAAATTCTGGCAGTTTTTTGGCAGAAACAGATTTCAAAAGTTTCAATGAGGCGCAATACAATTTAAGTTGGTTAAGAAAAAATTCAAAACAAGGAGTAGAACCTCCCCATTTACAGCAATGTATATGATATTTGACAAGCAAGAAAACAATATGAACCGTATCTGAAATTTTACTATCAAGGTCATCGACATAATGCAAGACGTGGGTGATTGTTATTTCTAGGATGTCCTACATTTTAAGGGACAGAAAAGGGACAGGTAAAAAAAAAAGATGATTAAGGGATTCATCCAGACATTCTCAACAGGCACAGCATGTTAAATCAAATTAAAATCTTTTGTGCAAAAATTCTGCCACTGGGTAAATACTGTGCGAGATTTTAAAGTAAGTCTCTTTAACCTTTGGTGGAACCGGCCATTTAACAAGTTAGTTATTAGTTGTTGACAAAAAAATATAATGTAATTTAGTATTGTGGCTTCTTGGCCAGTCCCTCCCAGTTTAACTACCTTTGGTTTGCGCCATGCTTAAAACAGGAAGGATGTAGGGGCCTCACATCCAACCGACTATTTTTTGGTTTACAACAGTTCTGAATAGGTAAACTTAATGCTGGCATTTCTTTAGATTTTTTTTTTTTGTATGGGATTAATTTAGGTTTATACTTCGTATTGCTATTTATCAAATGAGAAAATGTAAAAAATATTTTTTATTTTCTTTTTTTGTTTTCTGGAGTTGTTAGTCTTATCAAATAAAATGATTGACAAGTTTAGATTTCAAACAATTATTAACTGTGTTTTAACTATGAATTATTATGAAAGATGGTTTAATGTTAGTTTTCATACATTAAAAAGAAGAAGAATTAATACCCCCTGTGATGAACATTAGAATATTTTCTATTTCCAGTTCTTTGAATGAATATAATAATAAAAAAAGTAATTTTTTGGTATCTATAACTGTGACATAATTTCCTTAAAAATTAATATAATGTTACAAAAATGTTTTGAAAAAAATGTGTCTGACATGAGAAGTTGTTGAGAAATATTGTTAAAGATCTCTGAAAGTGGTCTGAAAGGATAATCCTAGTATGTAAATCCCCAGCTGACAACCCAGACACAAATCAGAAGTTTCCACAGATGTATTTCAGTTTAAAGGCAAAGCAGAGTCAGAGAAAAAGATCTGTCATCAGATGGCACACAGGTCTTAGAGCATGGGAGACGACAGTGTCACACACAGGTGAAACATCGGCAGAGGAATTATAGCAGCATGGGGGAGTAACGGCAGACATAAAGGATGATTTAAGGGTTTAAAGACCCCACGTTAATTTTTTTACCCTTATTTCAACATCAGAATCTGTAGTAAAGCATTTATTTAAATGCACATTAGGCATTTACTTTTTGTTTTTATTAATTGAATAATGAAACAGATAAAAAAGTAAACTGTTAAATGATCAAATAGTGTCTTGAAGTACAGCTTGTTCATCTTAAAGTATTCAAGCATGTATATTTACATACTACCTACATGCATACTAGTGTGTACCAACTAAACAATTTATGAAATCTTCATTACAAACACAACCTTCATTATTCAACCTATATTTTTTTGCACCATGTGTTTTTTTCTCCCACAATGTTTACATTTGACCAGTGCTGCACTTTAAGAAATGGAAATGCCATGAGAGCCATACAAAATGAAATGTCATTTTGTATACACTCTGTGTATTCATCATCGATTAGTTGTGTCGCGCGATTAATGCATCATCCGCCGCCATCGACAGCTGCTGCCGTGGGGCGCCTCCCCCATCCCAACCCCGTTCTCACGCTCCCGCAGGAGTCCCTCTCAGCGCTGCAGTCAGAGCAGCAGGATGTTTACCCTCAGCGTCCAGACTGCAAATGAAGCACGCGCCAGGATTGACGGCGCAAATTGATCACAATAATTAAAATAGCCT